CATTCCACAAATTTAAAATTAATTTTTTGAACAGCTACAATTTTGAGGTATGAGATAGAGAATTTTAACAAGACAGCTCGAACTCGAAGTAGTGCTAAGTGCCGGGTGTTACTACCAAGTACCAACTGCCTTACGTAGTCTTGGCAAGTTTAAAATTAATTAAATAGTCTGAATGCATCTTTCGAAAGGTGTTTTTAGGGGTGGGCACAGTCGCTTCGGTGATCGAACAGACCAACAATAGCGGTTAATAATCGACTTTTTTTATGGAAAAAAAGCACAAATCATTTACCAAACCAGATTAATTTTGGTTGTATTGGTTCAGTGACCAATCTAGTTTGGTTTTTCAATTTTAGTTTTGGGTTTGACCGAACTACACAGAGAAACAGAAGAGAACGATGGGAGAAGAAGGTCGTGATGGCAGTGTTGCGCCACCCCATCGAGAATCAATTCACAAGGTGAGATCTGTACTTTTTGTAAGCTAGAAAAGCCGAGTTCTTCATACATTATTTGAAAAAAAAAAAAAGGGGAAAGAAGCATAGAGAAGAGAAAACGGAGAGACGACGGAGAGAAGAAGGAACAAACAGGATCAGATTTTGATTCAATGGCTGAAATAAAATCAGAATAAGTTATAAAAAATAAAAGTAAATAGTACTGTTTACTGTTTTAAATGATAAAACATTTCTTGACGATAACTGTTCATGCTCATTCATATTTGAGAGTGGCATTTCTTTTCCATTCCACAGGGGCGCATTTTGGTTCGTACGCCTCGATCGATCCAGTGGTCGAGTTCGTTGATAAAGTAAAAATCATTTTTATGAGTTATGTGTTCAATCTATATAGACAACATTTATCCTACTCTACATGGACACATTTCGATTCTTACGCCTTAGTGATCGAGATATTTGATCAAGTAAAAATCATTTTCTATAAGTTATGTGTTCAATCTCTACAGGCAACATTTATCCGACCCCAAACTGCCCTTGTTAAAGGGAAAAAAAAATAAAAATGAAAAGACGCATTTCACATGGAGCTGAGCTGTACACTGGACCGCCCAGACATTTTATCTCTAATTATTACCCAAAAAAAGAAAAAAAAAAAAACGTTTTATCTCTGATCAAACTTATCTCTCCACCACGCGGTCACATGCTGGCATTTTCTGCTTTCTATGGGTCAATAATTGCTTTTCTGAATCGTTTTTCCTGCTTCTGCCGAAGGTTGTTCCCTGTTTACTGTACTGGACAAGTGCAGTTAACTAAATGGATGGTTATCAATAAATAATTAATTAAATGTAAATATTTATTAATTTTTTTTAAATTTCAGTTAAATAACAAAAACATTCGATAAATTAATAATTAGAAGATAGAAAAACTAAAAATTGACTATATGACCGAAAATAAAATTTCATGTGAATAATGATATAACAATAAGTTTTATTATTATTTTTGTATATAATTTTTGTATGTTATTAAATAAATAAATATATTAAATATCAAAAGTTTTAAAAGAATAAAAAAGAGTTAATTATTTAAATAGTATGTAAGTTTATAGTAAAAAATTATAAAAAGA